GAGAATAGCCTACGCTGGCAAGTCTCACCCGGGGTGAGAGGTAGATTGTTCTTCTATTCTCACCCCGGATGAGAATAGCCACTTCCAATATATTAACCCTATTCTTCCCATTTTAGAATACTTCTAGTGCGAAGATCTCTTTGAAACTTTCAGTATTTATCAAAAAATCATTTTGACAAACTGCTGCAAAGCGTGGGTCGGATTAATGAGTAAATTTCCTCTTTGGAAAGTGGTGGCACAGAGTTCCTGGCGTCTTATGGATACAAGATAGTAAAACACGACGTACGGATAGGGATAAAGCTCACGTCTTGATTGTTTTATATTTGAAAAAATTTTAATAAATGCTGGAAATATTTAGGTACACAGATCGGAAATCGGAAGTGAAGTCATGCTGGACTCGATTCAGAGTCCAAATATAATTTTTTTTTTAGATCGCACTTCAGTCCAAATAGTAATCGGACTTCAGTCCGAATAGTCACTTCGATAAATGAAAGGAGAAAATATTTGTTGGACGGCTGGTCAAATATGAAAGATGATAGTGTTTCCTGGAAAAATTAGTTCATGATCATACTAATTTAGAGTCAGTTCAGATTCATCTGAGTTTTATCTGGTTTCTGTTTCTAAACCTTTTTTTATGTTCTCCTCAGTTGTAAATTTTTGGTGCATGTTTGAGGCTGGATACAATCATTTATGCTCAATGCTTGCTGTGGACTGAATGTGAAAAAGGAAAAGTTTGTAAGTAGTAATGTGGTATTTTAAGTAACTTAGAAATAAAAATGTATATGAGGCAGCCTGGTTAAATCAGGCGCTCGTCAAAATAACGAAATCGGAGAAACCGACATTTTTCCGACATTTTGGACATTTTTATCGAATTTTTATTTTTTGGCTTAACCTCTTAAATATGTTCATTCATATGAACTCATATTTTCATGTGTATTTTACAGAAAAACTTTATGCACAAAATGTGTCATTTTTCATTTTTTAAATGCTCTTTAGCTATTGGAATTACCAAACTTTGACGGCCATTTTCTTGCTAATTTCACCACTGAAACTTCACTTCCTTCAATCGCAAAATCTTGATTTCTATTCAAGATAAATGGATAGTTATTTGTGAGGCATCGTGGTGGAATCAGGCGTTCGTCAATTTTTGGGCTTGTGGAGTTATTGGTATCATCTTAAAGCTTGTTCACTTGTCTTTATTTGGATGGAAAAAAATATCAATTTATCTTGAATACAAGTCGAGATAACGAATGAAGGAGGTGGGGGTCACCTGTTTTCAGAGGTAAAGTTAGTGAGAAAATGGCCACCAAAGATTAGTTATTTCCTTAGCTTAAGAGTCCGTGGTAACTGAACATTTACATTTTTTGTGCCTTTAATCAACGTTTTTTCAGAAAAACCCACACAGAAATGAGTTCTTCTATGGGCATGAAAGGTGTTGAGCCAAAAAACAAAAATTTGATAAAAATTCACAAACCTGCGGAAAAATGCAAGTTCCTTCATTCTGATTGTTTTGACAAGAGCCTGATTCCACCACGATGCCTCACATTTCATGAATCCAAGGCAAATCAGATGATACCAATAACTCCACATGTCCCCAAATTGACGAGCGCCTGATTCCACCGCCTTGTGAGACCTATGTAATATTTTTAGAAGTAGGCCTAAAGACTTTCTTTGGGAGGAGTTCCACTGAGGGCCACGCTTACCATGACATGGTCAATAGAGCAAACTATACAAGGGTTAGGGTTTGTTGTATACCCCGTTCAAAATATCCCCGTTTGTGTGTTGTTGGTTGGCCGGCCCTCTGCGGAACTCTTTCCCTTGCTTTTCTGTGAATGTTATCTGTTTTGCTTTCATGTATTTGCTACTTAAATTTAAAATAAAACAATATGTAGTACCATAGTCTCCGCCTAAGATCCCGGTGCTCGGGAGCAAGGACAATGCTCGATCTTAGGCAAATCGGGATCTTAGACGAACCGGGATCTTAGCTGAATGGCCAGGGTGAAGGGTCCACAGTAACTCAGGGTCAGGCCCAAAATCTGTACAATGATCTTCCCTTACTTTAAAATGAACTGACATGACTCCTGGGCACTAAAAGTTCTTTTCAGAAGTCAGTTTTCCCTTTTTTTTTTGTTTGGGGGTGGGGCGTGGGGCTTTTTAAAAAAAAATACTGTCCCAGGTGGGAACCAGTTGGCTTCAAGTAATACCCCCGACAGAAAGTTTATTGCTTTCCATCTCTAATGGAGTTCCCCGCGCATGTCATGATGCATAATAAATAGTTGTGTTGTTCACACCGACCAATATTTTAAAAAATGAAAGGCAGGTTCACTGCCAAAAGATGACCCCATTACGCAGAGGCGATCGGACAGTCCATGAATATGGGCGCCAGTCTCTCTAGGAATTAGAGCGCAAAAGTGAAAGTCGCGAGCGATGTTCGGGAAAACATAAGCCTCCACAAATTCGCAGTTTGATAGAATGCATCCTGACGCTTGCTTGTAGGCCCTCCCCGCCTAGTGGGTTATGTAAGATCAGGCAGATGGCTTAGGTGATCAGGGAAAGCAAGGCATGGACGAGTTCACACCTTAGTGCGATCCCGTCTGGGGTAAACATGGTAACCGCTTATGGAGATTTACAACAGAGGTGTGATTGCCTTCATGACAGTGAATGATCCGTGACATGACGGACTGTACAATGATCGCACTTTTTCGCTACTTGGTTGATCAGCTGAGCATGCCTAGGCTTCTTATTCTTTTTTATTTACTTAAACAAAGAAAAAAAGACTTAATAATGACCTGAAAAGCGGGATCTTAGCCGCATGTAGCTCCTTCAGTGCGGGATCTTAGAGGTGACTTTTATATAGTAAAAATTCTGTTTTTCCAGAGCAGCGGGATCTTAGGCGAACCGGGACCATAAGTGGTGGGATCTTAGGCGGAGACTTCTGCATATGCTCTTAAGTTATGATTTACGGTTGATCATATTTATAAGGTTAGGTGTATAGTGTATGTATTTTGATGAATGAGATACACATGAATATAAAAATGTAATCTAATTCTTTTCCTCAGTCCATCATGTCTGTAGACAATGATAGCGAAAGTCAGGACTGCCCGAAGTTTAAATGGGTGGACATTACCAAGGACTTTTTCGCTGCATCATCACAATTACAGCTGGGAGAGCTGCTACATGACACCTCGTACGTGAAGTTACACATTCTCGCTTGTCTCATCTGAAATATCCTTCCATTACTACCAATTAAGTCAAAAAATAATTTTAAGTAGCTCTCATGTCACTGCAAAATAGTGTTCTTTTTTTTAGAAGCATTTGAGAAGATTGCTTTAAAAAAGATGTTTAAAATTCTGTACCTATTGTTACTTCTCTTTAGGTTTCTTCTGTCTGTTTTACCTGGTAACTTACATCTTGAGATTTACATTTTGGTTTGTTGTTTTTTTGTTTTGTTTATTTCATTAGATTCTGCTTTAACAGGCATAACCTTGACTTTGCCATTTGGTGCATATTGTAGTGTGTGTGTCTCCGTGAAAGAGAGTGTGTTGATGAATATTTGAACTTGTACTTCTAGATGTTTTAATGTATTTGCAATGTTGCAGCTAATTTCTCTTTGTAGAGATGCGTTGTTATCGATCCAGCTTTGTAGAGACACAAAAGTTGTTATCTTATGATAATCATGCTTAGTTTCACAGTGTATAATTTCTTTTCTTTTTTTCGCCAGTTTTCATTTACAAAACAGGATCTTGAGTAAATGGATTTGATTAAGTGAGGTAAGGTATGTTTTTGTGAAAACTAACTCTCTCTTTGCTTTTTCTATCCTTAAAACCAGGTTTGGCTTGTTTGAAGCAATGTCTGCTATTGAAATGATGGATCCAAAAATGGATGCTGGAATGCTGTGCAATCAAATCAAGCGAAAAGTGTTGACATTAGAGCAATGTGTTGAGGTGAGTTCACAGCGTTTACTTTGATCTCTTTAGTTTCATCCTTACTTTTATTATCTCTATTTCTCTAACAGATCTATGAATTGGTCCAAATGTTTCAATGCCAAAAAAAAAAAAGATTCCTATGGTTACCTTGTTAGAGTGTGTCCTATGTTCTCAAAAAGCACATCAAATTTTTTACTGGGCTCTCCTGTACCACTGTCAACTGACGGTGTGTGTTTATTTTTGCTATTTCAGGAGGGCAGTGTGAAAGTATCAGGCCTTGATTACCAAGAACTGATTGGTATAATGGATGCAACTCTGGCTTGTATGGTGAGTTCGTCTTATGAATAATTTTACTGTTTTTCAGTCTATTTAGGAAGGCCTTGTTGATTGGTTTTTTTAAAGATGAAACTGAGTTAGATTTGCTGAGGAAGGAATCCAGTGTGTCAAAAAAAAATATACTCCACCACTATGTCTTGTCTTGTCCAAACCTTTTCGACTGACACAGTATTTAGTTCTTTTTCTTTATCTTGTTCTTTTTCTTGCTGATACTTTTTTTAGGGTAGCTCTTCCATGAATAAAGTTGGTTAAAAATCTGAAACCTATGGCTGTCTATTGGAATGGTTTGCTTATCTATGTCTGAAAAGAAGAAAGTATAGCAGTGGTCGCATCAACTGTTTTGCTTCTCTTACCCAGGGAAAATGTTGTATTTTTTCTCCTCAGCAGTTCTCATTAAGTTCATTTAACGACAGGTTAGGTAAGAAGAAACTCACATTGTATGAACTTTCTATTGTGTGGAGAAACATTGTGAAAGCCTTACATCAATACAAGCTACAGTGATATCTGCTGTACATGTAACGGCCAATGTATAAGACAATCACTTGCACAAAAGACTACTTCCCATTTCCCCCCTTGCATTTTTTAAGTATCGTAATAACACTGTTCAAGACATCCACCTAGCTAAGACAACCACTTTTCTCCTCAACAATGTGTGGCCGTCTTGGACAATATCGACTTTTAATATCTTTTACTTTTTTTCTGAAGACTGGTTGTTGAAATCAATTTCTCTTCGTGTGATTTCAGGTGACTTGGATAGAAGGCCATTCTCTAGCCCAGACTGTGTTCACAAATCTGTACCTGCATAATCCTTACATCATCGAAGACAGGTGTCTCAAGGCATTCTGCATCATCATGTTGAAGACAGTGGATCACATCCGAGAGAGGGTCAATAGGGCTGGCACTGTGGAAGAGGTGAGATATGAGATGATATCAGTAGAATTCACATGAAGTTCTATTCTCTTTTAGGGTTTTTTATGATTGCTCTTGGATCTATTTGCCTAGCATGTTTAGAAATAGCTTCTTGGATTGTTTTCTTCACATTATTGATTGAAATAAAAAGATGTTGCTCAAACATGTCCATGTTTATTAGGCCAAGTAATTTTTTTTTCTCAAACATTGTATTTTGTGATCGTGTAAACCTCATTTTTATATGATGATAAAGGGAAAACCTTTATGTTAAGATACTGGTGGGCAATGCTGCACCAGGCTATTTTTTCTCCTGATCATACCACTGTAGATGCAACATTGGTCAAAATTAGAATTCAAGTCTTTCCTTTGTTGATCATCTTTCAGGAAGATTTTCAGCCGATGTCGTATGGATTCAAGATGGCCGGTGATGTGACAGTCACAAGGGCCTTAGGAATGGTGAAAGAAGTGGAAGAGGAGCTTGGAAAATTAAGCAAGGTACTCACTGCATGTTTGGCATAACACTCCACTTTATATCACAAATTGTAATTTGTCAAGACCTTATTTAAATTAGTAACCATTGGGTGCTTTTCATTGTTTCTGTTAGTTTATTGCAGATCTGCCAAGTCTCCAATAAAATCAGAGCCTTCTGATTTATTTATTTTTTACTGTTGAAGAACCCTGATCAGATTTGCATAAAATATGATTTTCCTCTTGAATTCTGCTTCCATCAGTCACATGCAACTTGTCTTAAATGATGTGGGAATACACATATTTATTTTCATTTATTTGTTACTCTCTGTTAGTAACATTAATTTAATCTTCCTGTGTTCTAGAGACTCTTGATTTTTTCCCCCCATACTCTGCTCTGTTTTTTTATAGGGAGGATCATGAGGCAAAATCCTATTTTTTATCATTGTCGGCCGGTCTGTTATTGTTTCTTATTGTATGGTGTACAAGTATTATTCAATCATTGTGCAGTCATGCATAACCGATGTGATAGATGTCTTATTTGTCATGTCATTTATCATACATTGGGAACAATTGATTTATGTACTTTTCCTTCTTTACCATATTTGTTTCCTACTTTTCTCGTAGAATACAAGAAGCAAGCCTGGGGAAGAGAGGAGTGAGTCTCAGGAGCTACAGGTATTTCCCATGTTTGGACAGAGATACTTTTAGACATGCGATAACAAAAATGTTGATCCAATGCTCAAAAATACACTTTTGATAATAGCATGCATATTCAACTAGTATAGCGCTGAAGGTGGCGGAGTTGGAGAAAAGTGAGATACAGTCGAACCTGCCCTGACGGCCACCTATACAAACGGCCACTTTCAATTACCCCCCTTGCGTTTTTTCTATATAATTTAACTGTGTAAAACGGTCACCTGTCCAACGCGGCTGCGGCCACCATATTTCAACGCACAACCCCTATCACACTAAGCAATAACACCTGTCTTAGACGGCCACCTTAGTGATTCCATTACATTTTGTCATAAATTGTGCATTGACCCCTGGCGTTGTGGGCGAGCCGTCATAATCCATTCACCTGTCGTTGTTGTTAGGTAGTCCCTCCAACCGATCATGTTGCGTAGGCCCCTCCCACTGTTGACCAATAGGTACCAATGTTCAGCTGCTGGTAATGTAAGAGTGTGATCCCTCATAACCCATAAGCCCCGCCCAGAACTCATACGCAAATCGTAAGTGAGATGAGTGGTCACTCTTTACCCAGTCTGTAACAAAGTACCAATGGACGTCAACATGAACTTGTGACAGAAGTGTCGCTCGTTCTCCGAGTGGTGGCGACCCATGTGTTTGTTTTACAATAGCACGCGGTCCTCCTTGTCTGACACATTTTGTTTTATTGTCACCCTTGCGCAAAAGCAGCAACAAAATAAAAATAACAAACAAAATACAAACCAACAGCAACAAAAACAACAGCAATGTGGCTACTTTCGATTGGGACGTCAGATGGGAATGGTTGGTTTTCTTCATCTTGATCAGTTCTAAGACGGCCACCTGTCTTATATGGCCACTTTTCTCCTTGACAATGGGTGGCCGTCTTACACAGGTTTGACTGTATTTAGTGAGAGAACACAAGGCTTTGTTTTATGCATCAGTGTAATCTTGCTCTTGAAGCAAATGAAATACTTATTGTCTCTCAAATTCATTTGAATAATTGGAAGTTACAAGGCAAAATCACACCACACTTCTTTTTTTCTCACTTTTCCTGAAGTGCAGGCTCTTTTTAAAAAGTTATCTACCTCCACTGTTGATACAGTTGTGAAAAGCTACCTAAAGACATTCATTCTTTTGTATACATACAAGTCCCCCATGTACATACCTTTGTAACTCTTTAGCCTTCACCTCATTGTGCAACAACTAGTGTCTTTGCACTCTTTGATGGGATACGCTTCTAATGACAACCATCCTCACATATTCATTCTCTGTTTTGTTAAAAACTTTTAGAAGAAAAGTCGAAATTGTCCAAGACGGCCACCCATTGTCCAGGAGAAAAGTGGTCGTCTTAGACAGATGGATGTACTAGTCAGCATCATTCTTATATGGAAAAATGACAAGGGAGGGAAGTGGGAAGTGGTAATTTATGTAGGTGATTTGTTTGGACAGGTGGCTGTTAGAGCAGGTTCAGCTGTATAAAGGTTAAGAAGTTATTATCAAAAAGTGTTGTTTCTGAAATGGAAATCACCTATACGATATTTTAGTTTTGTATCCCAGTATTCGAGGATGTTGGAGCTTCCCTTCTGTCTCCAAGAACACAATGTTAAAGAGGAGAACATCTGATGCTGCCTCATGGCCTTGCCACTAATCACAGCAGTTGCCATATCAGAACTACGTATGATAGTAATAATAATTGCATTTATTTTACTTGTGTGAGATGTGCTGACAAAATGAGGAGTTGCTTCTCCAATTTTAGCCTTATGGAAATTGATCCATTAACTTTTTAGGTGGAGTTTGTACAATTTGTAAGTGTGGAATAATAAAAGAACAAGGTAGACTTGAAGAAAGTGGCATCAATTGAAAATCTATTAATCTGACCTCTGTATCAATTTTCAGCCGATATCTCCGTTCTTGGATCGTGAGAAGTAACTCTTTCTGTCAACACACCTCACATAGAAATCTCATGTCTGCTTTACTTTTGCCTCCCCAGCACCAACTGGTCACCGCTCTTCACGTAAGGCTCAGATTTTACAAGTTGTTCTACTCAATGCTCCAGTCTTTTGCCAAAGAAAAGGTACGTACTCCAAGACTTTGTGAGTATTAATTTTTTTTAACCCCTTAGTGACAGCTTCCCTACACCATACATGGAAAATCATGAGCCAAGATGCTCTCCTCCCATGCAATATACATCTTAAGTTGCAATATATGGGATTTTATAACTGTTCTGCAATAATTTTAAACAGAATTCTATCAGAAATGTACGAATGACAAAAATCTTTAATTTTGAAAGGGTCGCAAAAATATTGGAACTGCTCGCCATCCTGGCAAGCAAAAATTGGATTCAGTTAAAGTGAAAAAGCGTTGAATCACACAGAGGTTAAATAAAACTTGACATTAATACTTTTGAGTTTGTGATTTTTAAAAATTGTTGAAGAGTTGCATTTCGTAAGTAAACACTTTAAATTGTATTTCTAGTACAAAGATTGTATTAATATCAATTCTTGTATGTTTTTTCATTTGCTAGTTTATTTTTTTCAGAGTTTTTGTTACTGGCGGAGGATTGCTTTTTTGTTCCTTTTAAACCAATGGGTTGGGATTTTTTTTCAATAAATTACTGTTAGACAAACTATGTTATCTAAAATACTTTACTTCCTGTGTATTGCTCTCAGTTTTCCATGGTTTGTGACTGTTATCGTCGATATAGTGGTAATACAAATTTTTTTTCCTTCAATTCCTTTTCCATTAGGTCGTATGTGGGTTTTTTTTTTGGTAAATGCTATGAATATATGCATTTTTATTGGCGTGTATTTGCAGTACATGTTTATTTGCCACAGTCAGTTCGTTTTGTAATCTTTATCTACTGGGGTTCTAGAGATTCTGATTTTCCTTTTCCTAACTCAATTTTTTTTTGGGGGGTACCATCTTGAGTAAAACTCATATTTTTGGTCAAAGATTGGTTAGCAGGTCTGTATTCATGAAACGTCAAGCATCTACTTATCACATGTTTTTATTTGTCCCTGCCTACAGTGTGAGGGTCTTTCCACGGCCCAGAAACAGCTGACCCAAATAGTAGAGTTAATTCCCTTGATGAAATCCTCTGTGCCACTGGGCATTCAGGAAGGTTCCAGTGCTGCTTCAAAGAATGGTGGGTTGTCCTTATGCTTTAGTGTCTGTTTTGTTTTGTTTAGATTCTCACGTGTGGAAGTGGATGTAAAGGACATATTATTATTATAATCAAAATTGTCATAGATGGCCACCAACTCTTTAGGTGAAAAGTGGTTGTTATGGATAGGTGGATGTCTTGGACAGAGACATTATATGTGTGGTGCACTGACAAAATGAGTTACTTCTCGGATTTTAGCCTTATGAAAATTGATGCATTAACTCTTTAGATGGAGTTTGTACAATTTGTAAACATGGAATAATAAAAGACTTGAAACAAAATGGCATCAATTGGAGATTTATAAATCGGACCCGTGTCGATTTTCGGCCAATATCTCCATTCTTGGATTGGGAGAAGTAACTCATTTTGTCAGCATGCCTCACATATTTTTAAAAAAAGGTGCATGGGGGGAAGTGACCATTTTTAGACCAATTGTCTGGGACAGGTGGCTGTTACAGCAGGTTCGACTGTATGTACATCTTGTTTGTCACTGTCATTTGTACCATGATAATGTTATCACTTCCTGTGCTGTGCGAAGTGGCATTGGTGGTCTAGTGGTTAGGTTGCTGGGCTCTCAACCAAGAGATTGTGGGTTTGAATCTCGTAAGGGTCCCAACGTTGTGTTCTTGGGAGAGAACTTAAAACTAATTTTCCTCACTTTATCCAGGTGGGAATGGGTACGGCTGTAGACGGTGAAAGATTTTGTTTTCAGTTTGTTACTAGACTAGTGTTTGAGCTCTTAATCAGCTGCTTGCACTGCATGCTTCGCAGGAATTCCAAGTGTTCCAGGGTCTGCTGGGATGATATAAATTGTAAAGTGCAGAGAGCTTGCTGTTCAGAGGGTATATGCGCTATACAAATGCTATTTATCTATTCATTAAGTGAAGTACCCTACAAATACATCAATGCAATATATTCTTATTTCTCTCATATTGTTTCATTCTTTTAGAAATTGTATTTTAACTTTTTATGTACGTGGTTGGCGGGTGCTTTGGTGTGATTTGCTCCTTTTTTCCTATTTAAACGTCTATCTATCTTCCTTATCCTCCTTTTTTGCGTGTTTGTTACTCTCTTGTAACACCTCTACACTTCGTCACTTTCATGACCTAATTGTGTTGCAAGTGCTATAATACTCTTACTAGAACTAACAAAGTCTCTATGAATCGTGCCTGCAGACTACCCAACAATAATGGGTTTTGAGCCTCTGATCAACCAACGGCTCCTGCCGCCAACATTTCCCCGGTACACCATCATCAAGCCCAGGCTGGATTCCTTGGACTACATCGGCGTTCTGGTTCAGACGCTGCAGGGAGTGACCACTGTACCCGAGCTTGCGTCCTTGCATAATACACTGGTGAGATGTTAATTGATTACCTTTTTTTTAACATTACAGGTGCTGATTTTTCCCAAATAAATCTAGATTTCCAGATTTATGAAATTATTCAGAATAAATCTAGATTTCCAGATTTATGAAATTGTCCAATTTTGACTGACTTCAGGCTGATCGTCGAGAAGTAGTCTTGATACAAAATGCACTAAATAATGTTTTGATCCATAGTTTTTTAGTCCCAGCAAGTGGGTACTTTGGGGATCCAAGAAATTCGGGGGGGGGGGGGGTTATATCTGGTAGGCGCCCTTGAACATTTGGGTCAATTTTGAACAGGTGCTTGCAGGGTGTTTTGGTACTTCCTTCTTCTTTCCCTTCTGTCTATGTTTCTAATCTCTCGCTTCTCTTCTGGATGAAATTAGCTGGATGCTCTCTCTCTCTTTCTCTCTCTCTCTCTCTCTCTCTCTCTCTCTCTCTCTCTCTCTCTCCTCCACCCCCACCCCCCTTTACAAATGTTGGTTTGTTTGGCAAAATTGAATATTTTTCATGAGTCAATTTAGATTAGCTAGCTGCCATCCACCACTTTAAATTTGTGTTATTGTTTGTAAAGAGGTTCATTGGGTCTGTTAGTTTCTTTACGCTTTGTTGCTCGAAAATGGACGCAAGAATGCTTTGCATGTTGGTTAAAATTCTGAATGTTTTAAAAAACAAAACATTATGTTGATCTCTCTGTATTTATTTTCTCGAATATCCCCACTCCAGACATGTACAGTACATGAGGATGCTAATTTGTTTTCTGTCTATACATGACATTCACTGTTCCAGCTAGCCTACACTGCATCACAAAACTAAATAGCAAGAAGGAAAGACAATGAAAGGAAAGAGAATGATCCCGAAATAGAAATATGAGAATTGCATTGTTTCCACTCTTTAGGACAGTTGGGAGGTGGAGTTGGTGTTGTGAGTGTGAATGCAGATTTTTTTTTCTTATGCTTTAAATATCTCTCTTTCTAAGGAATGCAAAATTTTGAAAAGAAATTCTCCATGCAACTCTTACTAACTGATTTTGTATTACCATCTCATTTTGTTGTTTAAAAAAATTATTATTTGGTTTCGTCATATTCAGGAAGCTTTCATGGATTTCAGCAAGTCATCCCCTTGTGTTTTGTCAAGGTCCTTATTGCAGGTGAGTGTATCTCACAAAGGGATTGTGCCCTATTTAGTTTAAAATGAAAGTATAATCTTACTTTTGACTTTTTGACCCTCCTTGTGTCGACAACCAATTAAATCCGCTTTTTTAAGTTTCATTCTATGATGCCCCAGTCGATTTGATCAGCTTTATATTTGAGATGCTGTTCACATTTATTTATCCTAACATTTCAAAATGAGCTGAAGGTTCCATGTACTTTCTACTTTCTGAAAATGTATAGCTCTATGACCTTTGCTTGCTTTGTTTGCCTGGTTTTCAAACATTTTCCAACAGAATATGATGGTCTTATAATTTCCTTTGACACCATAGACTATTTGCTTGTAACGGTTTGAAGGTTAAGTCCTAGGGTTTGTGAATAGACAGGGCACATTTAGCCTTACGGCCGCAACACTCCCACAGAAGAAACTGCTTCTTCCCTGTTTGAGGTGTGAGCATCTCTAATGGCATAGTCCCATGTATGTGCATCAATGAATCTATGCCGTGTTGTGTTCATGTGGTCTTCACTGTGATGGGGTTTTTTGTCTTTTGTATTCATGTGGTATTTACCGTGGTGTTTTGAGTTGTGTTTTTTTTCTTCCTCCTCCGTAGTGGATGATTGGAGGGTATTGCCGATAGATCCTATGTGTTTTTTGTTCCCTCTGTTCTTTCTGGCCCTCTATCTTACTTTGTGGGTGGTTGGCGGGTGCTCTGGTGTGGTTTACTCCTTCTTTCCTATCAAACATCTATCATCCTTATCTCTCCTTCTTTTTTGTGTTTGTTACTGTCTTGTAACACCTTTAATCTTCGGCACTTCTATGACCTTATTGTGTTGCAAGTGCAGTAAAACACTTACTAAAACTAAAACTGTCTTATTTTTTCTCAGCACTAAATGAGCTTTATAGTGTTGATGTGCCTTTCTTTGTACATACAAATAAATAAATCGCCTTTTTTACTCTTACCACAGAGCTTCTCTTTGTTCTTACAAATAAATAAATCGCCTTCTTTACTCCTACCACAGAGCTATATGCTGTGTCTCAACCATATCTGTACGTCCTGTTTTACTATCGTACCCATACAACGTGGGGAACTCTGCGCCACCACTTTTCAAAAAGGAAATTTACTCGTTAATCCTGTCCATACACTTTGCATAACAGTCTGTCAAAATGATATTTTGAAAAGTACTAGAAGTTTCAAAGAGATCTTCGTACTAGCGGTATTCTAAAATGTGAAAAATACAACCCCAGGGGTACAAAATGACCCCAGGGCGTACGGATAGGGTTAGGAGTGACTAGATTCTGTTGAGTAGGGCGACAAACTATTTTTTTTTTAGTTTGTTTGAGTAGAGAAGCACATCGGCACAATAATGGTCATTTAGTGCTGGGAAAATGTAAGACAGACAGACAGACACAATAGGAGGAAATGAAAGAAGGACCTACCCGTGGCGCCCTCCAACCACCCACACAAACTCATCAAAAGTAAATAATCTTTTTTTAAAGCATTTTTACTGGCCTTGTATAGCTGTGTCGAACGAGTTGACTCATTTTTCTTATGAAAGTGTGGATTTTTGGGGTGTGTTCTATTGTGAGTTTTCTCTCTCTTTCCCATGAAACATCTACCTTCTTCATCCCTCTTTCTTTTCTTTTTCTCTTACTCTCTGGTGATGCCTCAAATTTTTTACACTTATTTATTACCTATTTGTGTTGGTGAGTTCCGTAGAACTCTTTCTAAAATTTATACTTTAAACAAAAATTTCTTACGAGAGTGATGATGACAAACTACCAAGTGTTTTCTTCACCTGAACAGCTCATGCTCTTGCCCCCGAATCGCCGAGTGTTTGGTCAGCAGAGTGTGGTGGATGCTCTCAAGGACACCGTCAGAGCTTTCATAGCTCCACCCGCCCTTTCCCCCAAGTGAGTGCCTGTGACGTACAAATCCTTGGAAGCTTAACTGTTTAACTCTCCTTACCTCCTTCAGTGCTGTGCGCAGCTCTATCAGTGCTGCGCGAAATCATAAGCAGTTCCCTGCATTGGTAGTTTGGCAGGCGCTCTAGTGTGGTTTGTTACTCCTTTTTCTATTTCCTATCAGATACCTGTTGTCCTCATCTCTGCTTCTTCTTTTTCTTTGTTTTACTCTTTAGCAACACCTTTAATTTTTGGCTTTTGTATGACCTACATAAAACCTTACGAAAACTAAAATTAAGCACTTCGCTGCCTGTAGGTTGTTGGTGGGTGCTCTGGTGTAGTTTGCTCCTTCTATCCTAGCAAAATCTATCGTCCTTATCTCTCCTCCTTCTGTTATGTGTTTATTACTCTCTTGTAATTCCTCTTGTCTTCGGCACTTGTATGACCTTATTGTGATGCAAGTGCCATAATACTCTTACTAAAACTAAACTAAAACTCTTACTAAAACCATGCACTTCCCTGTATTTGCCATCCACTGTTGTCACCAGCTAGCTTGCATCTACAGTGGGTGGTTGGCGGGTGCTCTTATGTGGTTTGGTTCTTCTTTCCTATCGAACATCTACCGTCCTTATCTCTCCTCCTTCTTTTTGGGGTTTGTTTCTCTCTTGTAACGCCTGTAATCTTCGGCACTTATATGACCTTATTGCGTTGCAAGTGCCGTAAAACTCTTACTAAAAAAACTCTAATCTTCTGCACTTATATTGCCTTATTGCGTTGAAAGTGCAGTAAAACTCTTACTAAGACTAAGCACGTCCCTGTATTTGCCATCCACTGTTGTCACCAGCTAGCTTGCATAATAATCTATTTTATATTTGGCAACTTGGAAACACGTTTGTCACTTTTCTCATAAAACTTCGACAGCTACAGAGTTAAAAGTTGACATGTACCTGCAAAAAGATAGATAGGTTCCCATGACAGAGCCCGATTTTTTATTTATTCTTTTCCTGAATTTAGAAAAATTAATTTGACGAAAAGTTACCGTCCTTTTTTGGCCTTTGTGATTATTCCACTGAGAAACGAAAAAGTCTGTGTAGCTGTCCTCTACAGCGGAAGTGCCGGAAGTGATATTTTGCAATGCGCATTTTGTTTTGAGAGTATAGATCTAGACCTTCTAATTTTTTGCATCTCTCTATTGCTCTATTCCAGTAGAGTGTAATATAGTAAGCCAATAACTTTCAGTTGATGTTAATGCACTGATCATTCCTTTCATTGAAAGGGGGCCCAGCTAGTAATAATAATTAATAGCATTTGTATAGCACATACCTCTGCTCAACAGCCAGCTCTATGCACATCCACAGATCCTCCCTCTACAACAGCTCGGTGGCCAAAGAGTACGTGGACGCCCTGATGTCGCGGGCGGCCCGGCCGCTGTGCACCATGTTCCAGGTGACGGGCCACAACCGGGCGCGGCAGAGAGACAAGTGGGCGCACGTACTGGAGGACCTGTCCAATCTGCAGGAGGAGGTTTGTCAAGCTTAGGGACAAATTATGTTTGTGCAGTTTCTGTCGTTGTCATTGTTGTTGTCGTTGTTGTTGTGCTCGGGGGCCAAATGTTTGTGCCGTCTCTGTCGTTGTTGTTGTGCTCGGGGGCCAAATGTTTGTGCCATCTCTGTCGTTGTTGTTGTCGTTGTTGTTGTTGTTGTTGTTGTTGTGCTCGGGGGCCAAACGTTTGTGCCGTCTCTGTCGTTGTTGTTGTTGTTGTCGTTGGTGTTGTTGTTGTTGTGCTCGGGGGCCAAACGTTTGTCGGTGGTTGGCGGGTGCTCTGATGTGGTTTGCTCCTTCTTTCCTATCTAACATCTGTTGGTAGGTGGTTGGCGGGTTATCTGGTGTGGTTTGCTCCTTCTTTCCTATCCAACATCTATCGTCCTTATCTCTCCTCCTTCTTTTTTGTGTTTGTTACTCTCTTGTAACACCTCTAAATCTTCGGCACTTATATGACCTTATTGGGTTGCAAGTGCCGTAAAACTCTTACTAAACTAAACATCTGTTGTTCCGATCTCTTACGGTGTCCAATATTTCGTCTCAGCGATCGTTTGGTTTGTTCGGGCCCCCCACGTTAAGTCATAAATCACTAGCAGGTGACCTGCAGTTTCATACGTCAGGTCAGGGATTGACCGAGGTCAACTCGTGCACAGCGCTATCCTATCTTGTCCGTATCAGAACGTGTTTCTTCCCCTAATTTCATGAGCCGTAAAATGATGCTCACTCTACCCCTAGAATCTATTTCTTCGCCAATTTCGCTTCATCTATGTCTTCTTGGTATCTTGTGAAAGTTTCACCTGTTTTCATCGATTCGTTTGGGAATAATAAGTTTTAAATTGTGAGTGTAAAGTGATCGAAGGTGCCGTTGATAATGTGATCTCTTCAAATTTAATTACAAATCATTCCAAAATGAAATGATTGTGTTCATTTCAGTTTGCGCGGTGTGATAACCATCAAATCATATTTTCTAATGATGTGAATTTTGTTTTTCCAGCACTTTACAGTGACTGGCAATCAGTGAATTGTGTTCCTCAGTAAAAATGTTTCAACTGCAATGGGTCACCCACTTGAGAGCCATAGACAGTCTCCAAGTGAACTTTGTCGGGTCTGTTGGCGTTTAAATTAAACTGTCAAACAAACAAAAAGTACAGGAAGCCCCGATTATGTAAGACAATGGCAGGAGATATTCTCTTGATTTATGAGATTGATGTGAGGGACGAAGATGAACAGTCGTATTCAACTATCATTAGTGTCAGTGTTTTACCGCAATTTCAACTATCAAAAGGAAAGGTGTCACGTCAATTCAAGCCGAAAAAAGCTGTTGAAGCTAGTAGGAACATATGGTGTGCCTTTGACAATAACAAAAAAATTTTTAAGTTTCCCCACATTCTCACGCTAACAAAATAACCAAACTTTGGAGGCCATTTTCTCACTAATTTTACCTCTGAAACCAGGTGACCCCCACCTTCTTTAATTGCTAATATCTCGATGTGTATACAAAATAAAGGGATATTTTTTTCATGAAAAGCAAGGCAAGTGGACAGGCTTTAAGGTGATACCTATAACTCAATATGCCCAAAAATTGACGAGCGCCTGATTTCACCACATCATGACACATATTAATCTACTGGGAACTCTGGAGACTCCGATTTTTTCCCGAAATTTCTATTTTTTAGGAGGATTTTGAGAAAAAAAACTTATTTTTTGTCATAGACTGGTTGGCAGGTCTAGGATTTAGTTGTTGTCTCCCCCTCCCCCTTTCACATACACACACACTCACGCACAGACACTCACACACACACAGATACACGCACACACACACACACACACACACACAGATAGATACACACACACACACACACACAATCACGCACAGACCTCACACACACACAGATACGCACACACACACACACACACACAGATAGATACACACACACACACACACACACACACAGATAGATACACACACACACACACGCACGCACGCACACAGATACACGCACACTCACACTCGCGCACAGACACACACTCACACACAGATACACACACACACAGATACACACACACACAGATACTCACACACAGACACACACACGCACACACATACACCCAAACCCTTTATCTCGTTATATTTCAGCTTCCCTGGGTTGCCCTCCCTGTTAATAAAACTTGACAGGCTGCTGTGCCCCTTCAATTTTGATACTTTCCATGACTCTGCTTGACAATAACATTATGTTTTGGGTTTTTTTATAGTAGAGGGTTTTACGGCGCTCGCAACTGCATAAGGTCATATGAGCGCCATAACATAATGTCTGATGTCAACAGCACTACTATTAGTTTAATAATTATAATAATAAATAGCATTTGTATAGCGCATACCCCTGCTTTACAGCAATCTCTATGCGCTTTACACTATGTTATTACCACAGCAGACCATAGAACACTCAGAAACGTTCTCAGCTTCCCGAGAAGCAATCAGTGCAAGCAGCTGATTAAGCTCTCGAACACTAACAGTCTATAGCTGGTTACCCATTCCCACCTGGGTGAAATGGGGTTCCCGCGAACCAGGACGCAACGTCGGGCCCCTGACAGGATTTCTTTTCTTGTTTATATAGTTGAAACTGCTCTTATGACCACCTGTCCAGGACAACTACCTCTACAAAAGACCACTTACACCCCCCAGCTTACGTTTAATGTGTTTTAATTTTATACAGTGTTACTTACTATCTGCTGACTTTGTTGCAGGCGGACAAAGTTGATGCGTTCTTGCACAGTATGCTTGTGAAGACGGAGAGGAACAGGAACCATTTGGCTTGCTTTGGAACCTGGGTGCTGTACCACACCCTCAATGCCATGATCAATTACACTTTGTCTGGTTTTGAGCTGGAGCTGTACGCCATCTTTGAGTACCAGTACGTCTACTGGTGAGTCACTTCATTTTTCCATTTCTTTTCCTTGTACATTTTTATCTGTTTGTTTGGATAAGTCTACAGATGGTATTTTCAGGACTTTAAAAAAATTCTGAATTTGTACTATTGGTCAGGAAAAGTATTCCTGAATATAACTCATTGTTTTGGACGTATTTTTGTTTTCATTAGCCATTATAGAAGCCAGAAGTCATTTTAACCTTAATTTCGCTTCTCTAAAAACTCTCCTCTGCGGATATGTTGGTCACTAATATGCGTTTTTCAGTGGCGGCTTTGGAAAAAGTCATAACAGCGACGTTGAGTTTGTCATTCACCTCGCGTGCTTTTATACTTTATGCAGTTGCGAGCACTGTAAAACACTTATCAAAACATGTCATTCACCATTAGTAGAAATAAAAGTCATCTATCGCATTCTTTCTTTTTTGTTGAAGATTTCCATCTCTTGCCAAATTTCTTTCAGGTACTTGTATGAGCTTCTGTATGCTTGGCTAGTGTCTACTTTGCACAGAGCGGACAGTTTTTTGCTGGAGGCTGAAAATGCACCAGGTACTTTCATATTTGTCATTTCTCTGAGCTTATATCAGATACGAACACCGTGGAAGAAACCTGATGGGTGGTTGGCGGATGCTCTAGTGTGGTTTTGCTTCTTCTTTCCTATCAAACATCTATCGTCCTTTTCTCCCCTTCTTCTTTTTTATGTTTGTTACTCTCTTGTAACACCTCTAATCTTCTGGCGCTCATATGACCTTATGCAGTTGCAAGCGCCGTAAAACTTCTACTTAAAAAAAAAGAAACCTGAAGTATCTGTGCACAAAAGAGGCAATGTTTGTGAACCTGATTATCCTGTGATATGTTTATAATTTATAATATTGTTTTTTGTGAAATAGTTTTTTGATTTGTAAGAAAAAGTATAAAAGGACACTAACTGATCTTTTTTTTTTTTTTTCAAAATCAAATACGAGGGAAAGGACAGTTCTCATATTTAGAAACTAGCACTTGCACGCTGTAAGATCTTAGATCCTAGTTTAGTTCTCAGAGTTCTGAATTTTAAACTTTGCTTTTGCGTACCTTGGGTCAAGAACTTTTCAAATAACAGACGTAGCATGTAAGACTTCCTGGTACAATCAAATGTGAATATCAGCAGGGGGGGAAGTACTCATAGAGGAAAAAGCCTGGGTTTGCGACTTTACTTGCATCAGGACATCAGGACTGTGTCAAGCCAAATGTTTATTTGTTGGATCGACGCATGTCTAATAGGCGATGAGGGTATACTGACTATGTCACCTGTGACCAGAGCTGTGTTTGTCCATTGATGCCCCACTCCTTCCGTACCACAACGTGCCTCCATCCTCCCCGGTCCCTGCTTTGATGTATTATTTCATAAAGTCGAAGATCACTGTCAGCTTGTGGGTCGTTGGCGGGTGCTCTGGTGTGGTTTGCTCCTTGTTTTCTACCAAACATGTATCGTCCTGATCTCTCCTCCTTTTTTTGTGTTTGTTGCTCTAGTCTCTTGTAACACCTCTAATCTTTGGCACTTATATGACCTTATTGTGTTGCAAGTGCCATAAAACTCTTACTGTGGGTGGTTGGCTGGTGCTCTGGTGTGGTTTGCTTCTTTTTTCCTATGAAACATCTATCATCCTTATCTCCCCTTCTTCTTTTTTATGTTTGTTACTCTCTTGTAACACCTCTAATCTTCTGACGGTCACATGACCTTATGCAGTTGGGAGAGCCGTAAAACCTCTACTAAAACTAAAAAACTCTCACTAAAACTAAAACTGTCATTTTTTATGGGGGGGGGGGGGGAGGGAGGGGGTTAATGTATGATGTTGGAGGTTGTCCCTTGTTTCTCTTTGACTCTTATTGTGTCCAGCCGCACAGTTGTCTTTAGATCGGTATTAACTCTTTCACTACCGAGAGCAGTGTTTCATGGCTCGTGTTACCCCCAACGCTGGATCGTGAAGCTGTGTTTCACGGCTCGCCACTTCCTGCGTCAATACCACTCCTACTTTTGTCAAAATCGAACCTGAAATTTCAGGCTGAAAAATGTTCATTTTTAGCAACATGTTGAGATTGTTCATTATGTCCCCTTTATTTTCATATTATATAACACATGTGGCTAATATTGAACATTGAACTAAAAAATCTTTAATTTGTCCGACAGTAGGCAGAATCAGAAAATAGTTTACAGATAGGGCCCGGTCCTGGTGAGGGAAACAACCCCCCCCCCCCCATTCCGATGGTCAAACCCCCCCCCATTCCGATGGTCAAAGAGTTAATGATGTTTTTGTTTGTATGATCATATTTAATATTAAAGTAAGTCCTCCGTATTTGCTGAAATAGTATTTGATTTCCATATCTCTAGATATGACTCAGAAGGGCCGAAGCAGCAAGAAGAAGAAGAAAAAGAGAACTCGCACCTTGACCAGAGAACTGACCATAGCTCAAGCATACCAGCAGATGTTTGGTGGTTATTATAAGGTATTGTGTGCTTTTGTATTTGTTCTTCACTTTTGCCTCAGAAGTGCTGATTTTGTAACAAATCTTGAAATCCAGATTTCTGAAATTGTTCAGATTTTGTCTGACCTGGGCATGTCATATTGTACTAATGTATAAAAATAGACATGATACAAGATTTATTGTGTTTTGCTGTATAGTGACTCCTTGAGATGCCACCCGCTTTTGTATGCAGCTCTGGGGGGGGGGGTTAAAATACTGAATACCTGCTCTACTACATTTGCTCCTCCCATTGTCTGTTACCAAACACTCGCATTGTGATGTAGAACTTCACTCCTAGAGTACTTTTGTTTTATACAATTTTTTACTTCTTTTTTTTTACCTGTAATCAGAAATAGACAAATTTCTGCTGGTAGATTCGTTTTGATCAGTGCAACTTATGTTTGGTTTTGCTAGGCCGCCAGACGTTATTCGCTCCCCCTGTGTCTTGAATATACGCAGTACCTCAGAATACACTTGTTTTCAAAACCAGATCCTAAAATCCACAAATTGTTTTCATAAGTGTAGTGATGACTGATTTGTTTTGTTTTAACTTTGGGGTTTTTTTCAGGCTGTGGTTGCCTTCCAGCTGTGTGGCAAATTGAAGGAGCCCAAGTTTCGCTTTGACAACGAGGAAGTTCGCTACAGCCACAGATTCGCTCCCTTTGCTGCTGTCCTCACTCCCCCGTTTGTTCAGTACGCTCAATATAAGGTGAGAGACACGTCTGCTTTCCTTGTCTGCTTTTCATTCTCCTTGCAACTGCTTTGTTTTGTGAATGCAGGCACACAATTATTGCATTGTGTTTATGTGTACGGATGTGTGTGGAGGAGAGGATGTGTGAGAGAGTGTGTGTCTGGGTGTGCTCGTGTGTGTGTGTGTGTGTGTGTGTTTGTGTACAAGGTAAACACGAAACCAATGTGCCAGGATCTGTACAAAAATATGTATTTTATCTTATTTTATCTTTATCTTATAATAGAGTTAACCTGTCAAGCTTAATTAGGTTCTTTGGCTTTTTTTTTTATGATGCCCTCATTACTACTGCTCAGTGTATATTGCCAATTGAATTCATTGGTTTGAGTCATTGCCAGCCAGATTTTCCTTCACAGAAGGGGCAAAACCTATGATTTTGGCACAATAAACATAAAATTCAACTAATTTTTATTAGAACCTTCGAAACCAAACACATTTTTTTTTCAAGGTGGTGACTTAATTTGGTCAGTTTTTTTCAAAAATGGTAGCCTTTGCCTTATCTAAGAAGGAAAATTTGGCTAGTTGGACTCAATCCGATGAATCTTACTGGTAGTCTGCACTGCGTGTAAGGGACTATGTGCTATGTCCTTCTTGTTGTAATCCCTGGAAACTGCTCATCTTTTTTAAAAATTCACAAAATTATATTTGTTAATTTTAATAGTGGATTTCATAATTTTTTAACTTTCAAATTAGCATTTTGCTTCAGTGAAAATAGAAGTAAGCCTCTTTGCAAATCTTTTAATACTTCATACCCTGATTCAGTTTGGCTTTGTTGTTTCTTTGTTTTTTATCAGGAAACTTCAGATCTGAATCGGTATGAACCTGTACCAACGTCCCAAGAAATGTTTGGATCTGCTTGCAAGTGCTTTTGCCAAGCCAAAGAACTCTTAGACTCAGTATCTCCACAGTCAGAGGAAGTGAGTATATCACATTAGTTTTTGAATAATTGGTCGCGTTTAAGCACAATGGGGCTATCCCAAAAAAAATGCTGTTTTGAGAAAATCGAGAGTAAAGTTTTTGCCCCTTATTTAATTTCTGTAAAAGACAAGGAGAGTTTTCTCTAGAACCAAACAAATATACACACCAATGAAACCAAACTTCTCCTATAGGTAGGGCAATTCCAACTTTCGGTATAGGTCAAGATTTCTGAAAACCCCCGAAATCTGGGTTAGCTCGCTTGTCCTTAAAAGTGACCAATTATTGGTCTCTCTGGTAATTACACATTTCGCTGGAAAAAGTAACTCGACTCGGTGGCTGAATTTCTGTTTTCGTGTAAAGATGTCAGTCTTCTTTTAGTTACAATGATAAGTATTGGAGTGACAATAGCACCTTCAGTTGCTTTGTGGCATTCTACTGGAGCAATGATACGAGCATCGATTCTTAACTTATCTTATTTTGTGTCAATGGTCCACGTGCATGTTTACAGTAGTGGTGTTTTACAACAATCTTATTAACTCAAGCGAACTGGGTTTAAAAAATGATGACAGTGAAAAATTAATGATTTGACAGAAAGTTCATATCTCGCAACAAAATATTTGTGCTGTCCATATGAGTTTTTGGTAGGCGGCTCTTGTGTCACTCAAGCCTTCTTCTTTTTCTCCAGTGCCAATCTATACCTGATCTATAACAGCAGTTATTGTTTTTGTGTTGAGTTATTATAAACTATTTACATAATTATAACATAACAAGTGCATTTATATTGCACATGTCTACGCTCTACAGCATGTTCTATGCACTTTACAACTAGTATTACCGCAGCAGACTCTAGAACACTCAGAAGCAGTCTCGACTTCATGGGAAGCATACGTAAAACTATCTTTCTGCTCTTGTTTGTTGTGTCCACAGATACAGACTATGATAAAGATTGCCAAGACAAACTTTGTGGTGATGAAACTTGTTGTAGGAGGACACAAAGGAGATTCAAAGGTAGGTCAATTATGTCCTGCTTTCTATAGAAAGGAGCATTTAATATTGTCATTGACATCTTCAGTGAAGTTCAGTTTCAAATTAGACCAAAACACAGATTTCAAATGTACTGATAGCTTGAGGTACTAGTGGTAAAAGTTATGCTGAAACTTTTGGGAGAAGCCAATCTATCTCCATGACCAGCCCTCAACCACTTTCTTTTGGTGTTCATGTTTTGTGTTCCAGAAAAATGTTGAAAATTGCTTGTAGCAGAATTTTCCTTGTAAACGACATTGTTTTCAGCTTTTGGGTGACGGTCCTGTTAACAGTGAGATCATAAATGTTTGTGAGTTGAGTATGAGGCTCCTACTTAACTGGTATGGACTATAGATATTCAGAAAGAAGTAATGAAGTTGTTATTTTTAAATATAGCATTGTTATTGATGAGTCCTGAAACACATGAAGCTTTATGTAAACATTTCATATCATTGCATTAGCATGTACAGTGCAGCCTCTCTATGACGTCCTTACCGAAAACTCTCTATAATGACATTTTTTTCTGGTCCCGACGATGTCGTTAAAGAGAGGCTGCACTGTAGTTGCTTTTGCCAAATGGGTAAATAGGCACTTCATAAATTATAGCAATGAGTTTATTCTATTATGTATTAATTATATGTAAGGATTGATGTTGTCATTCTCTTTGTCTTGCTTGTTCTTTTATCATTTCTTTATGTAAAACTTTGGAGACTTTTGTAAGTACTGAAACAAGACATTTGTTTTGATTATCCTCCCCCTCCACCCTCCCTTTCCCCATTTTGCCAGCATACTACAAGTGCAACCAACAGAAGTTACCGTCACACTCTGTCTGTGGGTAGTTGGCGGGTGCTCTGGTGTGGTTTGCTTCTTCTTTCCTATCAAACATCTATCGTCTTTATCTCCACTTCTGCTTTTTTATGTTTGTTACTCTCTTGTAACGAAACACCTCTAGTCTTCTGGCGCTCATATGACCTTATGCAGTTGCGAGCGCCGTAAAATCTCTACTGAAACTACAAAAAACCACTCTGTCATGGTATGTCTCTGTGTTTTCTCCTCAGGACCCTCCCGACTTTGACTTCTCTCAGCACAAGGTCCTCCCTGTGATCAAACTGGTGTGATAGTTTTACAGATAGTTACGGATGAGCTGACTGAGAGAGGAATGCGGAGGATGGGAGAGTGGGAGAGTCTTCTGTGTTCGACTTATGCGTGTTGAACTGTAGTTACGGATGAGGTGACTGAGAGAGGCATGCGGAGAGTGGGAGAGTCTTCTGTGTACACGGCTAGGACTGCAGACCGCCACGTTTGGATGTATTGACTGCTCAGCGTAAGACTCCCGTCATAGGTCACTTTTCAAAATGGTGTGTGGTGGAGTCTTACACCAAGCAGGCGATTTGAACTTGAGTCATTGTGCGGGTTTGACTGTCTTGGTCCCAATGTGTTAAGGTAGAATTACTTCAGACTTCACACTGCTGTAAAAGTGAATAAAGGTGTATTTTAGACCCCCCCCCCCCCAAATATCTTCATGAATTATAGCAATCATGGTTTCCTGATCCTGTAAGACATAATATTTTACGACCCTGCTGTAACCTCCATCGTGACCCCAGATGCTGCACATGAGGTCAATCAGTTCAAAATAGGGTTCCAACTTCATGTTTCCCCATTCTGCTGTACGTATTGAAGTGTAGTCAAAATTGTCCAAGGCAGCCACCCATTGTCAAGAGGATAAGTTTTTGTTTGATACTGTTTGAGCGCTTAATCAGCTGCCTGCACTGTATTCTTCCTGGGAAAGCCGAGAATGTTTCTAAGTGTTCTGGGTTCTGCTGTTGTAATAATATCAATAAATATATAAACGTGTCGCGATGCGGTGGATTCAGGCTCTCGTCAATTTTGGGGCATGTAGAGTTATTGGTATCATCTTAAAACGTGTTCTTTTTTGTTGCTTTGGAGGTAAAAAATATCCATCTATCTTGAATAGAACTTGAGATAGTTGCAAATGAAAGAGGTGGGGCTCGCCTGGTTTCAGAGGTAAAATTAGTGAGAAAATGGTCTCCAGAAATTAGTTATTTTCTTAGCTTGAAAGTTCGTTGAAACTACCAATTTACATTTGTGTGTCTTTAATCTTGGTTTTTCAGTCAAAATCCACACAGAAATGTGTTCTTTATTGGGCATGAAAGGTGTTGAGCCAAAAAAGGAAAATTCTATTAAAATTCACAAACCGAGGGAAAAGTGCATTTTTTTTAAAACCCTGATTATTTTGACGAGCGCCTGATTTCACCATGCTGTCTCACAAATGTAATTTATTATTTATTATTATTTAATACAGCGTAAAGCGCATAGAACTTGCTGTTGAGCGGGGGTGTGCGCTATACAAATGCTATTTATTGTTATTATTATTATTGTCTTTGACAGGTAAATGTCTTGGACAGTATCATTATAACATAGAAGGAAAAAAAGCAAGTGGAGGAATGGAAAATGATTGGGAGTACAGGTGATTGTCTTGGACAGGTAGTCATTAGAGCAGGTTGGACTATATTCTGTTTGTTATATTTATGGGACGAAGTTGGAGAAAAGACAGTGTAGTGCCTGTTCTGCGATCGCTCCAGTCTTTTGTATAAGTTTTTTTCTAGACTGAACGAACAGCCTCCCATAGTCTCTGAATCTGATGACCTACAGCTGGATGTATGCTCAACCCTATCCGTACGCCCTGGGGTCATTTTGTGCCCCCGGGGTTGCATTCTTTACATTTTAAAATACTTCTAGTACGAAGTTGTCTTTGAAACTTTCAGTGTTTCTTAACAAATCATTTTGACAGACTGCTATGCAAAGCGTACGGATCGGATTAACTAGTAAATTTTCTCTTTGGAAAGTGGTGGCACAATGTTCCCCACGTCGCATGGATGCGATAGTAAAACACGACGTACGGATATGGTTAAGTTTATTTAAGTTGCTAAAGTAGTACGAAGAATAGTGGTAGGTATTAGAATTTTTAACCCTTACAGTCTTGGTCGTGTATTTGGTGTGCAAAGAATTGTAGACACAATCAGTATTGGCTGTGCCTGATGAGTCAAGGACTCTAGTATATATCCATATTACCTGGGCTAGAGGAAAGTGAGGGCTAAGATTTAAGTCTGGTGCTGTAAGGGTTAAAGAAATTAAGTCTATATATATCATGGTTTATCAGACTATCGAGAAATGGCTCGCACAAATGTGGACTGGCTGATCGTTACAATTTCAATCAATCACGTTCTCGCGAGTTTGTGGCAGTGTGTCTGTGTGTGTGTCTGGATAAGTTGTGGAGCTGATACCATAGCATACACAACAGAGAGAGTTTTCAATCAAAAACATGATCTCCTTGTGCAGTTCTCAATGCCTTGAGTGGGTTTTTTTCTACTGTTTTCTTCATTATTTTTTTAAAATGTGATTTGTTTTGTCATTATTCAGTTTTGTAAGGGCATCTTACCGAGAAGATCTTGTGTGTGGATATGACCATCCTTTTTACACCGCTTTTGAGTTGAGAGGTTGACAGAGGGCTATAGCTGTGGTGTATTTAGAAAGGTTAGGTTACCTTTTCTTATTCCAAAACGTGCTGTAAAATAATTGTGTAAATTTTTTTTCGGGGGGTGGGGGGGATGGCCATCTGTCTTTGGCAGTATCCTAGATTATGCTTCTCGTTAATGAATGACATTCTGGGTAAATGATGTTGAAAATAGGTCTTGATTTCTTTAAGTTAAGTTCACCACACTGCCTCACATATGTATTCGGTTTTTACAAAGATTTTCTTGTATTCTCCAAGCAGGTTCTTGAAATAATGTGCAATTGTTCCTCACTCACTCAGAGGAAAGGGTTATCTCAGATTTGAAGGCTAGTATGGGCAGTGTTACAGCTAATGATCTTATGTCCATCCTATTTTAATATAGAGGATCGATAGTAGTAAGAAGGAAACAGGACAATAAAAGCACATGGGCAAAGTTCCTTTTCAGTTCCCCATTCTTTTAAGATTAAGTTGAAATCATCTTTTGTGAATGACATCACAGTTACCCCCAGGTTAGGCCCCACAGATTGTGGGTTCTGCGGCTGTGCGAAGTTGGTCCGGTATTAGTAAGTTTTAAATGGAGGGCTGAAGTAAACCTTTACTTGAACGTGTCGCTGAAAGGCTAGACATTGTTGAGGCTAGAGAGGTGAGCAGTGTAAGTCTTGATTCCCTGTAATGGCTTCTCTGTTGACACCCACCCCTTGGCGCTCATATGACCTTTTGCAGTTGCGAGCGCAGTAAAACCTCTACTAAAACAAACAAAAAAGGCTAGACATTCTAGCACAAGCTGAACAGCCAATCATGACGTTGGAGTGTTCAGTGCTGATATTATTCAGGTTTAACGCAAAATACGCTTTTTTAGTTTTAGTAAGAGTTTTACAGCACTTGCAGCACAATAAGGTCATATAATAAATGCTGTCAAAAACTGTTTGTTTTAAAGAAGGATAACTATGACAAAGAACTTTCAACCATTTTGGGGGGAAAATTTTTAAAGTTTTTAACAATTGATTCAATTTTTCACTGCTTCGTTTTCTGAATTTGTACTATCTGTCATTGTTGCAAAATGCAACAAAATGGGAGTTCCAGTGAGAATTGCACAGATTGTCTTCACTAGAGTTGATATTTATTGAGGGCTCTTATGATAATAATAGCACTGATCTTATTTTGGAACTGACCAATGAATTCATATATATATATAATATATTTTAAGTGCAGTGTTTATTGTTACACAGAAGTGCTGGCCAATCTGAGCGGTAGCGCCCACTAGTGGGCAGTTAGGAATCACCCAGGTAGTGACAAGTATTATTTAATACCCCGCTAAGAAATACATGTAGGTAGGTGCTATAAAAATGTTACTCTCTTAAAGGTGGTAAAAAGGGGCACTGGCTAAAAAAAGGTTGACCAGCACTGATAGAGTATGACACTGACATAACTCAGGATGCACTGTTTAGGCCTTATATTGTTTTAAAAATGGTCCCACAAGCAACAACTTTAGTTCTCTCTTGTCTGACTGATTTGCGTTCTTTGTGTTTATGATCTATATATCGGCCACCTTAATTTTCTTTCCTTGAGCGCACTCGTATAACCTTTTGTGGTTGTGAGTGCTGTACAACTCTTGCTATTGACTAAAGTTTTCATGATGAAATGTGCTTTCATAATGTGCTGTCCTGGGCTAAAGGAGACGGGCCCAAAGGCCATTGGAGTCATTACAATATTACATCGTCTGCTGTTCCAATGTTACTGAAAATTTTGTTCTGAATTCTTCATGCAAGAACGGAGAAAAAACAGAATTGTTTTAACTTGCAGTACCGGTAACGCATCAAAATTCTAGGAGCCTGGGGAATATCCAATTATTTTCCACCCTTCCAACTGTACGGAAGTAAAGTGTTTTACAACTGTTATAGTACTTTGACTGGCACATCTTTCATGTGAATGTTTCAGCCGGTTTTGAGTGTGTTTCCCTCGTGTGTTTGTCAAGTCGGTCAGCGTTGGAATGACTGTTTCTAAGATCAGAAATAAAGTAATTTATTATAATTGAGCTTGTGTCCTGTGTTTATTTGGTGGCTGTTAAACAGGAATGATGTAGGTTTTTCACTTTCTCTGCTTCTATGTTTTCACTCACCACTATATTGTTCATATTATGTCTTCATCTGTTTTTATTGGCTCACTCTTATTTATTAGTCACTGGGTATATCTGTCTACCTATCTAATCTCTTTGTGGATGGTTGGGGGATGCATTGCTTACTCCTCCTTTCCTTATCTAACAATTAACATCCTCATCTCTCTTTCCACTTGTCTCTGTTTGTTACTCTCTAATAACACCTTGTGGGTGGTTGGCAGGTTCTCTAGAATGGTTTGCTTCTTCTTTCCTATCAATCATCTATCGTCTTTACCTCCCCTCCTTCTTTTTTGTGTTTGTTACTCTCTTGTAACACCTCTAATCTTCAGCACTTATATGACCTTATTGTGTTTGCAAGTGCAATAAACACTTACTAAAACTAAAACTAATAACACCTTTAATCTTCGGCACATATATATTATTATCTTATATGACCTATTTGATATCCACTAATGAACAGAACAAAAATGCACACATTTCAAACCAGAAGGTTTTTAAAAATCTTTACAGAGGAAAACACAATTATCTGGACTACTAAATATTTAGTAATAATCTCTATAGAAAAATCAAAAGACAAGTTTTTGATCATTTTGAAGGTCTTTGAGGCGGGGCGGGGGCTCTCGTGGCCTATTCGTTCAAAGAACCCGGGTTCGAATCCGGGTAGCGACGGAAAAATTTTCTTGTCTAAAATTGTCTCCTTTCACCTCTTTTCCTGTTCTCCTGTTCTCTAGCCATGCTCTGTCGTCTGCTTTCGTCTCCACTTTCTGCCCCCACCTCCTCACCTCTTTTGCCCCCTCCTCTGGGCTCTTGACTCTTTCTGCAGCCTTTCCACAGCTACTCATTGGCTCCTTCTTACTGC